GGCTGGAGCCGTGGGTCGGTGGAGCGGTGCCCCGGCGCAGCAGGGATGCAGCCGGGATGGGGCAGCCATCAGCCCAGGCAGGTCTGCCACGGCCGGGTGGGCTGGAAGCTTTGGGAGACAATATTTTTTTTAAAAAGACCACAAAAAAAGGTATAAGCCATGGAGACTGCGAACACACCCATTTCTGCAAACTTTCAGAATATCGTTACGCATTTCTTTCAAACCAGGACTGGGGTTTGTTGATACTTTCGCTGTCGTTTTCCCGCGATCTGGCAGAGGAGTGCCTCACCGTTGCTTGGTTTGGGGCTCGGGTGGTTTTAGGATGTTTCCTGGTTAAAACAAAAAGAGACGAGACATTTGGACAAAAATACGGGTCCGTGTTGCGCTTTGCCCCCGCCGCGTGTGCAGAGCCCCCTCCCCTGCCGCCTCCCCTCCCTTGCCCCAGGGGTGGAGGGTTGGCACCTGGAGGACCAGCCCATCCCCTGCCGGTGCTTTGCTGGGCTGCGTTCACATCCCGGCTCTCTGGTGAGGCACAGGCTGGAGACACCAACACTGTGGGATTTGGGGGGAGTAAGCAGAGGGTTTTGGTGTAGGAGCCTCTTTGGGGTGAAGGGAGGCTGACTGTGTCGCAGTGGGACAGTGTTGTGCAGCTCGAGGGCAGCAGGACCGTTGCAGCTTGGTTTTCTGATGGATTTGGGATGGCTGGGTGGGTTCTCTGGTGTCTAATAAGGGTTGTGCTCACCTGGCAGCCTTTCTTGTGTGCAGAGAAAGTGTCCTCTGCTCTGTCTCTGCAAGAGACGGGATCAAGGTATTTTTGAGTCCCGTGCCCCTCTGCCACGGTTGGATGAACTGGGTTGAAAAATTACTGGGGAAGGAGGGGAAAAGCAGAAGGTGAGCAGGACAGACGGACATGTCTGTGCATGCAGGCTCACGAGGACAGCTCGGCTGCATATTCCTCATTCCTTTCCCAAAGCGGGCTCCCCACCTGGAAACGCCACTGGCTCCTGTGCACTGAGTCACCCGTCATGTCTGCGAAGGGCCGTCATCCCCCACAGCCGGTGGGGGAGTGTCGGGTCCCCGAGGCCTGAATTCAGAGGCGGCAAATGCCAGCCGTCGGTGCTGACCGGGACAGGGCTCAACTTTCTTAAAAAGTCCTTTGATTTGAGAGATTTGGGGATTTTCACCATGCTGGGGTTGTACACGGGTGGGCTGCTGCTTTGCTCATGGTTCTCCCATGAGACTCGGACCCTGGCTCTGGGTGCCCTGCTTCGGGTTGGTGGCTTTGGCACCGGGCTGCGGCCGGTCCCGCCGTGCCGGGGTGCCGTGTCGGGGTGCCCTCCAGAATGCCAACAGCTTTGAGGACTCTTTTCTTCAGCTCAGCATCCTCCGCTCGCCCTCACCCGCCCTAGACCTTCTCCGCAGAGGAGGCAGGAGCCGGGCTTGCCCCAGGCAGGGGGCCAGGGCTGGTACTTCCCGAGGGCTTTCGGTGCTGCCAGATGCCAGCTGAGACGTGGATTTGGCAGGGCAGAGAGCTAACGCAAGCCGTTCTGTCTGTTCTCCGTGGTATTTGTGAGTGAGCCCTTCCTGCGCAGATACGGACACGGGGACTTCATCTGCTCACAGCTTAAAATCTCAGGGGACTTTCAGTGTTGCCAAAGAGACGGGGCTGCCTCATTTTTATTGTGAATTGAATGATAATAAGGCAGCGTCGCTTGCAGGGAGTCCCAAGGGCTTGGAGACCTGACGGCAAATAAAATGAACCTCTGGATACGCAGTGTTGGGATTTCTACTTGTTTTCATGTCACGCTTTTGTATTTTATTTTTTTTTTAAGCCACTCTCCTGTTTCCTGAAAGGGCTGTATTTAAGATGCATGTGTGTGTTTGGGGCTGGAGTGGGTATTACTGGTTTGGCCTCAGCTTTCATGCTTGCTGGATCAAATGGGGGAGATGGATCCCACTGAAAACTCACTGATGGTGAAGAAAACATGGAAACTCTCTTCCCTACCTCATCCCAAATTACTGAGGATTTCTCCACACCTTGGGATGTGTTAATAGGTTTTGTTCCCAGCGTGGAGGATGAATTCGTGCTGATGGGGGCCCTCCAGGTCTCCACCTTCACCCCGGCCCATCATGGTGCATGAAGGTGGGTCCTTGCCTCCTGCGGGACAGGGAGCGCCCTGAAACTTTCCCTGCTGCTCCTGTTTGCTTTGCTTCATGCCACGACACGCCGGGGCGTCCTGCCTGTACTGCCCGTTGGGCGGGCAGCGTTTTGCCCGCAGGGGGAAGGACCCACCGGCCGGCGCGGGCTGTGTCGCAGTGTTTGCAGAGATGGTCCTGCCTCCGTCTCCGCTCACGTCTCCTGCCCAGAGCTGTGTCTCTCCAGCCCCCTCGGCTGCCACCGGCCGTGGGACCTGCAGCATGATGGGGGGATTGGTGGGGGGATTGATGGGGAAGGCTGGCGCTGAATGAGGTCTTGCTGTCAAGACGTCTGCTTTGGGCTTTGAGAAGGGTCAAAAGAGCAGCGTGACTTCTGCTCCATGTACCGCTTTTTGGAGATGGGAGGATTTATAGGTCCGTCTGTACCCCGGGGGTATTCCACACCTGCAGGTCTGCAGAGAAGCAGCAGATCGTTATCCCCTTTCATGTCCCCTTAGGAGGGAGCCAGGCATCCCTTCTGCCCTGGGACCGGAGGCTGAGGATGGGACAACCTCAAATCCTCTCCTGTTTTTGGGTTTTGCTTTTCCTCCCTTGTTTTCCACCGTGTGTTTCTTGGGGCTGTGTGCTGTCGGGATGCCTTGGGGTCACGAGTGATGCTGCCAGGGCTGGGGCTGGGCGCGGCATTGCTGGCGGAGATGGGGTGACTGTGCTGCATCGCCTGCACCCCACAAGTGGGGGGGACCTGGGGCAGGTGGACTTGCACCTTGAGCCATACGATCGGCTCCACTGGGTGCCCTGGCTGAAAATCCTGCGTCACAAGGGTCCTTTTCTCCTGCTGGGCTCCCTGGCAGGGCATGCCAGGCGCAGACTCCTCCGGCCAGCCTGCCACACATTCCCCAGCCCGGGGGAATAGCTGGGATTCTTGCATTTCCTCCCCCAAAATGACACTGGCTGGACTGCGATCTGCAGTGAGCATCAGCAGCTGGCTCCAGGGAGAGGACGGGGTCCCCTGACACAGCAAGAAGACCCCCAAGCCCACAAGAGGCTCCATTTCGGTCCCCAGGTGCCAGCATGTCCCTGGCAGATTTGCTTTTTGCAGAAGTACCTGGGTGCTGGGGCAGCTCTGCAAGCCCTGGGTTAGGGAGGGAGTCTCCGACATTCCCAGCAGTGCCCACTCGCCCATGTAGTTATTTTCTTAAAGCCCCAGCTCCTGGAGTCAGGCCATCCCTGGAGGAGCTCGGCTTTTGCCAAAGACCTCGCTGTTGTGGGCAATTTGGGAAGAAGTTTGCAAGGGCGCACAGTGCAGAGAAACCCCAAAGGCGGGCAGGCAAATAAAACCCTCTCACGCTTACTTCATTTTTATTTTTTTTCCAGAAAGAGGTTTGGGGGAGAGGATTGATGGATTTGTGCTGTGATTTGCAGGTAGAGCCACTGCATTTCCTCAGAGCTTGGGCTGAGCCCTGACACGTTGCACATTGCAGGGCTTCCCAGCTCCCACTAAGGGATGGTACGAGCCCTCGAGCGAAGGGGGCTCCCAGGGAGCAGTGTCCTTGCAGGGACCTGCTCTGGCCCCCAACCTTTGGAGGTGACAAGACCCGTCTGTTCCCTGCAGTGGGATCAAGGGATGAGCCTGGGTTCAAGTGTAGGGATTTACACCCAAACATGAGCGACCACTGGCATTTTTGCCAGGAGATGAGATGAAATGAAATGATGAGAGTGAGTGGAGATGCTTGCGTGGGGGTGTTTCCTTGGGAGCGCTGCCCTGGGGGTTGTGGGTGGGAGGAGCTGGTGGAGGGGGAGCCGGGGGGCAGAGCGTGGGGGTCCGGGACTCCTTGGGGCTGCTCGGCTCTCAGACTCCTTGCTCCATGTCTTGGTGGAAAGCGCAGAGCAAGCGATGGCAGTGGTGTCTCTGTTGCTACCCTCTACCTCTTGCAGCTCTCCAGCCTCTTCCTCCGGCTCTCTCCACTGGGACGTTTCCAGATTGCACAGAAACCCTGCGGGACAGCTGAGCTGAGGAGCCTGAGAGTCTGACCACCATCAGGACGGGCTCTCTCTGAGGGATCTCTGCCCCGATCTGATCTGTGCAGCTTTGGGAAGCTCTCACCTCGGGGTTTGGCTGCTGTGCCTCAGGGTGGGTGTGTGGAGGGCAGGCGGGATGCAGAGGGACCGGTCTGAGCATCACCCTCCTGATGTGTTCAGAGGTCCTCACACCGGACCAGCACTGTGTTCAGCCTCTCTCCATCCCTCTGGGCACCCCACCCAGAGAGGAGGGAGCTGTGCTCAGGGTCACCCATGCTGGGGCGCCCCTGCTCGGGTGGGCTCCTCGCGATGGCATGTTTGGGCTTGCAACAGCATGCAGTGGCATCTCAGCAAAGTGTGTGAGCCCGTAAAATGGGTGCAAAAATGCCCCAGAGCTGGGGGCCTCGGTGGAAAATCCACCCCTGGAGCGGCTGGAGAAGAAGGAGCGGGGCTCCCGGCGGAGGAGCAGGTGCTGAAGGGTTAACGGGGAGTGTTTGCAGCCGGTCCCTTGTCACCAAGGAGAAGGGAACAGCACTTGGGAAGGAAACAAAACACCCACTGCCCAGGAGGGTGATTTCCTTTCCCCAAGCTGCATTACAGCCCTCGGACCCCAGAAAGGCTCCAGACACTGGGAGGACGGCGTCACCATCCCGGGTGGCAGAGAGCAAGCAGCACCGGGTGAGTGTGGCTGCTGGGGACACAGCCC